TTATTCATTATAGCTTCATTTATTCATTGTGTTAATGTATAAATACAAATAAACTGAATCTTAGAGATTCAATGTTGAAATGACTTATCTGTTATTGTGATCATGTATGTTCTTTCCCCTTTATTATTGATATAATCATTGAATATGGATCGTATACAGGTTGATTTACTTATTACTCTGTTTCTTTGTATGATAAGTATTGGGCAAAAGCAAGTGTATGTACAATACATCAATACTTATATTTCTTATATAGATATATATTAAACATTTAAAAGGTATGTAAAATAAATACTGAACCTAATGAACTGGTTGATAGAGGATCAGGTAGCGTTACCTGTTATTATAACAATGTAATAGACAGTAACTGTATAATATTCTCTTTCTATTCTAGGTCAAGTTATAATAAATACTGAACCTAATGAACTGGTTGATAGAGAATCAGGTAGCGTTACCTGTTATTATAACAATGTAATAGACAGTAACTATATAATATTCTCTTTTCTATTCTAGGTCAAGTTATAATAAATACTGAACCTAATGAACTAGTTGATGGAGAATCTGGTAGTGTTACCTGTTATTATAACAATGTAATAGACAGTAACTGTATAATATTCTCTTTCTATTCTAGGTCAAGTTATAATAAATACTGAACCTAATGAACTAGTTGATGGAGAATCTGGTAGTGTTACCTGTTATTATAACAATGTAATAGACAGTAACTGTATAATATTATCTTTCTATTCTAGGTCAAGTTATAATAAATACTGAACCTAATAAACTAGTTGATGGAGAATCTGGTAGTGTTACCTGTTCTTATAACAATGCTTATACAATAACTTTATCCCGATCTGGTGATGATAGTAATATAGCTAACTGTTTGGTTACTATACAAGAACAAGACTGTAATATCCTAAATCCTGGACGACCAAACAATTACACCGACTATAGAGGATTCTATACAGCATCTAAAACAACTACTAGTGTAAGTATACATATTGATACAGTATCTAAACAAAGAGATGATGGTATCTGGAGATGTAGAGTGGATGAACTTCCATCTGAATCATTTCAAACCAATAAAACTATTAATGTTAAAGGTAAGTCTATGTTACTAGAGCTTCATTATTTCATTTAGTTTTAATTGAATAGACTCTTCATAAATAATCATTTTTAACTAAAACAAATGAATTCGAAATGCTATCTGCACTTGAAATAGATATCAAAGGAAAAACAGGAAAAACATATTCCAAAATGACGAGTAGGAACTATATGAGATTAATAAACAGGAAAGGAATGACTTTTGAATTGTTAATTCCTACAAGTCACATATTAATAGATTTCAATTTTATTTTGCCTTGTTATTTCTAGTACCAGTTAAAGGTGTCGAAATAGGAAATAAAAACAGTCTAAATCTAGTAAATGGGGTGTCTACCACAATGAATTGTAAAGTCACCTATAATCCTGATCCAGTAATAAATTATAGATGGTTTATAGTAGAAACAAATCAAACATTATCAACATCATCATCTTTCCAGTTGACACCAAATAAAAATCAAAATGGTCAAACTCTATCATGTTCAGCAGACAATGGATATGGTAGTAGTAAATCTGATACTGTTATTCTAGATGTTCAGTGTAAGTATTTTATAAAAATATGTAACTATAATTCAATTTTGCCCACCATATCATAACAAAAAAATTTGATACATTTCGTAAACGAAAAAATTATTTGAATAATATGAAAATTTAGTACAAAACATGAAAAAGAATATATTCTGAAAATCAAGATAGTACTAACAATTTAAATTTACGCTAAAACTCTAAATATAATAGGTATCAAAATTGACCAAAATTTCACATACCATCTGAAAAAGAATCTTTGGTACAACAGATTATATTTTAGAATATTAATATAGACTAAGCTTAAATCATTTTGAAAAAAAAATAGCATCTAAGTTGAATAATCCTGCTGTTCTATTGTGTATTTCTGTTGTCAGATAAACCAAGTATATTTTATATTACAGACAAACGAAGTATATTTTATATTTCTGTTGTTAGATAAACCAAGTATATTTTATATTACAGATAAACGAAGTATATTTTATATTACGGATAAACCAAGTATATTTTATATTACATATAAACGAAGCATATTTTATATTACAGATAAACCAAGTATATTTTATATTACAGATAAACCAAGTATATTTTATATTACAGACAAACGAAGTATATTTTATATTACGGATAAACCAAGTATATTTTATATTTCTGTTGTTAGATAAACCAAGAATATTTTATATTACAGATAAACCAAGTATATTTTATATTACAGATAAACGAAGTATATTTTATATTACAGATAAACCAAGTATATTTTATATTTCTGTTGTTAGATAAACCAAGTATATTTTATATTACATATAAACGAAGCATATTTTATATTACAGATAAACCAAGTATATTTTATATTACAGAAAAACCAAGTATATTTTATATTTCTGTTGTTAGATAAACCAAGTATATTTTATATTACAGATAAACCAAGTATATTTTATATTACATATAAACGAAGCATATTTTATATTACAGATAACCAAGATATTTTGGG